AGATGCAACGGACTGTCCATGCGCATGATGGATAAGCATTTGCAGGAAGCAGTAGCAACAATTCTGTCCCTGGATTTAGTTGTGATTTCTTCTGCCGGTGGTGGAGAGCAGCCCTTTAAAGGGCTGTTTCATGGCCTGTGACACGTTTATTCGGGTTTTTGTTGAGTAATGATGTTGAAATTTGCTTGTTGTTTGGAAATTGGTTTGGACACAAAAATCAATGGCTTTGTTAGAGAAAGCCAGATAGCTGTCAGCTGTCAGTGTTGTGTTCTCTGGCTGCAACAGCGACACTTTGTGGTGACATGAGTTATAGGCATATAGGTGACATAAATACTGCTACATATAAAGTTTTACCCCCACCTGTCTTACTCCCCTTTGGATTTTTAATGACTTAAAAACCAGAATTTTGGGTCTCATCTGCTGTCGATTTACAGGCAACCATGACAAAAAGAAAACTTGAAAAGGCATATTTGTGTGCCCAAATATCTGGCAAACATCGTTGATTGTATTAGGATTGCACAAGTGTGCCTAGCAACTGGTTAATGTCTAAGGTGGTGCCCTGCTTCCATGCCACTGTCTGAGATCAGTGAGCACCCAACACACCATGTTTGCCCGTGTGTGTGGTCTCTTTGCATTGTCCCAAATCCCTGCTGGCAAAACTATACAAACTCCATCCTCAAAGCCGTTAGTCCCCAAGGGTACAATGGAAGCATTCCTTATCCTCTAGTGCCCCCACTGAAAAAAGAACTGCATCATTTGAAGTATTCTAAATCTTTCTGGGAAAATAAGTTGTTGCTTCCCTTCAAAGAATGCAAAATGGGTGAAAAATGGAATTTGTGCATATTGAAATGCTAGCACATTGTTAATTTAGGAGATAAAATGTGTGAGTGAGATTTGTCTGCTAAGGTCATGACCATGTTTGGCAATTTGGTTTTACATCCTTAACAGTTTATTAGTAGTTTTTCTCAGCTATTCCATGTTTGCTGGTTGTGCTATAAATGGAGCTGCCAGCTGTTGATCCTGTCTATCTGGTGTTGAAAGAACTGGGTTTGCAACTCTGAAATTTCTAGCTTTGCTTTCCTGGCACACAGAGGGTGCCCAGGGGGCGGTGGGCCCTATATTTCTAAACATGGTGAACGTTCATCAAGTTAATTTTGTTTCTCCTGTTTGGAAAGCAGATGGTAGTGCCTCTAATGACTGAAATGCAGCAGTTTGGTCCAACTCTTCTCTGAGGACTGGCATTAGTGACTGGTGTGTTGCAGCTGGCTCAGACTGGCTCAGACTTGCTCAGACTGGTTTCAGAATGGCCATGGTGATAGTGTTTCCACTGCACCAAAAGGTGAAGAGTGCACATGAGGGCATTTTCCCACAAAGGGGTTAACCTTGAAGCAGTTTCTAGCACAAAATTGCAATTATGATTGTAGCAATTAGAACTGCACTTGCTACTCATACTCCTATAATCTCAACACTCAGGGTAGAGAGGTGGGAAGATGAAGGGTTTGAAGTTAGATTCATCTATGAAGTGAGACCCTTTTCTTTTTTAATTCCACAATTTCCTAGATTTAAGAAATTACACTATTAAAGAAGAAAGCCAAGCCCAGGGTGGTGGCACTCACTTGCATCCCAGAACTCTGGTGCAAAAGCAAGTGGATCAACAGTTTGAGGCCAGCCTAGGCTACATAGCGAAACCCTTAAAAAATCCTTACAGTTTCATAGATTTTCAAAGTTAAAAGATTAAAAGATTGTTGATGCAGGCCTAGAATGCCAGCATTTGGAGGTGGAGGCGGGACAATGAAGAGTTTGAGGTCAGTTTCATTCACATACTGAGACCCTGTTTCCCCCCTCACAACTTTGATTTAAGGAATTGGAAACGTAAATATGAGCACCTACCAAATGCAAACGTAAATACGAGCACCTTCACACACTCAGTGTGTGAAGTCAGGAAGACTGAGTTCCAGGCCAACCTGAGCTGTGAGACTTTGTTTTGAAATCCCACAATTTCCAAGATTTAAAATGGAAAGACTGAAAGAGAAAGTCTAGCCTGTAATAGTAGCCCACAA